GTAAGTTTTTTTGCTTGCTTTGAAAACTGTGTAAAAGTTTCGATTAAACATTTTAAATTTGATAGCTGAAAGAAAGAAATCTGTATTTTCTATTAAAGTATAAATAATAATTCAAATATCATTAGAAAAAAAAAATAATAATAATAATAATAATAATTACACAAAGCGCAAGTAAGAATTAATGCCAAGGCAGACTGTACTACGTTTAAGATGTACAAAGTTTAACGGAAATACTAATATATATATATATATATATATATATATATATATATATATATATATATATATATACATATATATATATATATATATATATATACATATATATATATATATATATATATATATATATATATATATATATATATATATATACATATATATATATATATATATATATATATATATATATATATATATATATATATATATATATATATATATATATAATATATATATATATATATACATATATATATATATATATATATATATATATATATATATATATATATATATATATATATATATATATATATATATATATATATATATATATATATATCACACACACGAATATACATGAGAGCACAAATGTTTCTTGCTTTTTTTAGCCTATATTTGTTTATGTTTATTTTCCAATATGTTTTTATTATAAATACTTTTATTATTAGTATGGTAAATAATACTTTATAAATTTTATTAAATAGATTATATGACGTGCAATTTGTTTTTATTGTATATACTTTATTACAGTAAATAATACATGTCATATTTTTATTTATTGATATTTAATGAAAGTTTTGTGTGTATTATTCTAAATGTTGTTTATGTGCCTCACATAATCAACGGATTTTAAAAATTTTATCACATCAGTTATATGTTGTAACATTTTCTGTGTATATATTTGATACTTAAACGCATCATCGTATTCAACATTATATTAGATAAACTAATTTTTAACACCAGCAGACAGTCTAATCAAGTATATATTACAGAAGACAGATAAAATCGAGATTAAGTCAGAGACTAAACAAGTTAATTATGGCAAGCCGCGACAAGTTTTCAAACTTCATTATGCAAAACTTGTAGTTATACGACCGAGTCTGATCTGCTGAAACAATTATTATTAACTGTTAAACTTGTCTATAGGTGACTAAAGACGTCGGTCTGTATTGTTAAGATACAAAATGTTTCTTTATATGTATGCGAATTTGTCACATTTAGGTCTCAACAGAATGCGCGGAAGAATAAAGTTAAATAAACTCTTTACTTTTTCAAACGTATTGTTTGTGATGTTTGAATATTGAAGTTAGTTTAAAAGCTTTTTAAAGTTTAAAAATATAGCAAAATAAGATTTTAATGCCATTCTGATAGCTTAAGTGTAACTGTATTTAAAATCCGTTTATTGGCATTTTTTAAATTCTTTATTTAAACATCAGGCTTAATCTCATGCTGATAAAAATTCTTGTTAAAATTCATATTTTTAATTTTTTTCAAATTACTATGTTACTACTGTTTTCAACATAATATAGTATGTTTACTAGTCTAACGGTGTAAAGATAATGTAAGAATCTATCAAATTATGCAAAAATAATAATTTAGAATTTAAAATTTTAATAAAGTTTAAATATTTAAATTGTTTTTTAGTTTGTTTATAACTTAAAAAATAGAAACAAAATTGCGCACTGTATGATGCATTAATTTTTTACACTGTATACTTTTTTAATTGAAACAATTTTGTTTAAAAAAAAAATTATAAAAAAGTGATGACAAAAAAAACGACAATGAGATCGTTTCTAATTAGTTATACGTAAGAAGGCGAAATTTAAATGAAAAATGCATATTATTTATTTATTTGTCATTTTAAAAAAGAATACAATGCCGTGTTATATAAATAAAATCTACATGAGCGGGGCTAAAAGAAGACAATATTTTCTTTATCACTACCGCCGTTTTAACAAAATCTTTTTTGTCAATATTTTCTTTATCACTACCACAGTTTTAACAAAATCTTTTTTGGATAATTGTTCTTACAATTGTTCTGTGATATGAGTGGAACAGCTTTTTCATATGAATTTGAATGGGACCAAAATTGGGCAAAAAATTTACCCAAATTTTGTGACTTCGTTGACTTATTCCATGACTGGAACAAATTTTATAAAAAATCTATCACACTTAAATCATAGAAGGCAATAAAATGCAAATAATTCATACTAAAAGTTTCATCTTTACACCATTTTTAGTTTTTTAGATATGTTGGCCGGCGTCTTTAAAAACCTCTATCTGAGAAAAAAAGCTTTTAAAAATGTTTAGATAAAAAATTTCTAAATAATATACATAAATATGCAAATCATGATAAAACAAATGAGGTAATTCTCAGAATACTCCAGTTTGATATGGGTTTCCATCTTTTTCAAAATATTTATCGTATCTGCTCCTCTTTTTTCCTCGAATTATTTGTCTGCGTTTTTTTACTCGGTTTAAATTTTCATATCTTGCTAAATATAATAGTTTTTTATTTATTTTCCTACACTATCCATTTTTTCTAAAATTAAAACTCTAGCTTATTTACCAATGTTAAAATGGTAAATTGGATCATAAACACCAAACTGAAGATGTGTAAACGAAACATAATGGCTTTTTGGTAAACGTTTCCATATTGTCATGTTAAATGATTAATTGTTATTTTGGGTAAGGCCATGAAGACATTTTTTAAAAGAATGTTATACTTAACTCATCATAAATTGTTTTAGCTTTTTTTAAATTATACAGACACTAACTATCTGCACCTTCAGGACAATGAGGAAAATCTAAATTTTTGTTTTTTGATGAGGCTACATGATAAAGCGTAGCTCTTACAGCAGATTTCATACCGTTTAAATCATTTTTATTTTGGCGAATAGCTATAACATAATAATTTTGGAGACGATAAATAGTTGCTTCAGTCACTTTTCCGCGACCACCTATACTTTTTTCCTTTTTTTTAAGGTTACGTAAGCGAGTTCAAATTCTTTTTTGAACATGTCCAACACATTCAAGTTTGTTTACTTAAATACCTTTATAAACATTTTTAACAGCATCATAACTTTTGCTATCTCTATCCCCATAAAATATATCGCAGACTATGTTTTGCAATAGACCTATTCCATATTCTGCGGGCTCCCTCTGGCTCCATACCACTAACTAGTCCTTGATAAGTACATTTGTGTTTATTGTACCATTTTTCATAGGCAAATGGGTTTTTTTTTTTTTAAGTGTTCCATAAGAACACAACCTTTACATTTCTTGTTCATTGCTTCAACATCTAACACTTTGCCTGTTTCCATTGAAATAACAGAAACAATTCCATTGTTTGAAGAGTAGCCTCGTTGCTGCCAAGTTCCATCACATGACACTGCAACATCAATTGCATTTAGCAAACAGTCAGTAATGGAGTTTAAAACAAAATTATCATTTTTCAAATCTTTTAATTCTTAAGCAGCATCCATCATAGTGTCTTCAGCTACAAATTTTACTGCATTAGTTAATTTTAAAACAATTTTGTTATAATTGTTAATAGTCATTGGTTTGGGCATGTCCATCAATGAAACAAATCTTGAAAATCCAGAATAACCTTGACCGCATGATCTCATGGCATATACAGCCCTGGTATTTATATCAAAACTTTTTTGTTTGTTCAATGTCGATGAGTAAAATTTTTTTGATTAATTACAAATAAAGCAGTTAATATAGACAAGAAAATAGACCTTTTCTATTGGTTTCGTTTTCTGAAAGAAATAGCTCCAATGACATGCATTCTGGACATCTAAGGGTAGAAACTACAGAGTTAAGTATTTCTAGATCAATGAAACGGTATCCTGCAATTAAGCTACCCGATATTATGGGTCTTGATGATGAAATGTTTTTCATATTTTTAGCAGAAGCACTAATTTGGTCAGAACCAATTACATTAAAATCAACAGTTCTTATCATATTTACATTTTTATCTTCAACAATTTTAGTAATATTTACATTGGTATCTACGCAATTTGATTCTATATTTACATTACTATTATTTACATCCATATCCACACTATTTACAACTAATTTATTCATTCCGTAAAACATTTTTTTTCCCATATTTCATTTAGTTCTTTGTTTTAACTGTACAAGTTTTAATCATTTTAAAAAAATTAAAAATGGGCATTCTAGTGATTACTTTTATTCTAAAGTAGTTTTAAACAATAGAAAATAAAATTCTTTTTTTAGTATAATTTTCAAACAGAAAAATAAGATTTTAGAAGGATTTTTAGTTAGGATGAAAAAAAAGTGCTGCTGCTATGGCGGTTGTTATGGAAGTTAAAATTTTTAGGGTTTAATAAATTCTAGTTTAATAAAGATCTGTAGCAAATTTTAAAATGGTTTTGAGATTGTGAATTTCTGATAAATTTTGAACAATATTTTTTTTCAAATTTTTAAATATCTGAGGGGTATTCCACCTTAAAGACTATTTTTATTGCAAACTTGTTAACATGTTTTATATGAAAAATGATTCGTAGTATAAATGACTAAAAAAAATAATTGGAAAACGTAAATATAAGTGTAAAAAAGTTTTTTTTGATGACAAAAAATGTTTCCACAGCAGGTATTAACCGAAAAGTTTCTTCTGCTGATACCTTATACCAATTAAAGTTGGTGAAAAATATGAAAAAAAGATTCTCAGATAAAAAAATGAGGATGGTACATCATATTCTTGCTGTGGTTTTTAGAATGATAAAACGTTTATTCAATTAAGAGCTTTTTTCTTGTGTTTTATTTTTTTAAATACTTAGCAATGCATTAGACACGTTTTTTTTAAATACTTTGAAACGCATAACACACGTTTTCTTAACTTCAAAAAAAGATTTTGATTTGAAACTTTCAGAAAATTTTCCATGTTGTGTTGTCTGGGGTTTGTACCAAAATGAAAGTTTAATTTTTATTTTAATTGTACTTTTTATCTTTTTGGGGTGCTTAGT